AAGCGCTGAATCCATAAAGGAACACTTTCCTCCTCCCACACCCCCGTGAGGTCAGTTTGGTGACTCGTCCGAGGTCACGTGGTGCACTAGCAGCAGAGCTGGGATGGGAACCCAGGCTCTAACCACTGGAACACACTGCCCCGTGCTGGCCCTATCCCGTGTGCTGCCATCTGTGCTGTGCTTACTGGCCATCTGGGGGGTGCTCAGGAGCCAGAAGGCGGCCTGGCCTGATGGCTGATGAGGTGTGTGTGTGGGGGGGTGTCCCACAGAGCCCCTGGACCCCCCACTCCCTGGCATGTGACCTGGAGCTTTCCGAGCCTCGGCTTCCTCACCTCCGTGGCGCCTGGTCCCACCACGGGAAGCGTGCGCAGAGCGAGTGCTCGGAGACCCTGTGAATCGGCCAGGACTCCGGGTTGCTGTGACAGAAGCCAGTGCACACGGGCCCCAAGTCCCAGAGGGAATGGACCGGCTCACAGGACGGGAAGCACAGAGGGCGGGTGCGGGGTCCGGGTACAGCTGCAGGGAGTGGTCGGACCATATGGTCAGGATCCTGCCGCTCTGCGGCTCTGGCCTCAGCCTTCCTTTGTGTTGGCAAAATTCTCAGGCCACCGCAGAGGCAAGATGGCCATTAGCGCCTCCGGGTTTCCAGGCGGTGGCTTAGCCAGGGAGGCGCCTCTTCCCTGCAGTGCTGGCTCAAGGGCTGGGTCTGCCTGGGGTCACATGCCCATCCCAAGCCAGTCATGGTGGCCGGGGGATGGCGTCCCGGGTTGGCTCGCCTGGGTCTCTGGGCCTCTTCTGGGATCCAGGGGGAAGGGGGGTGCGGGGAGGGAAGGAGGCTCCTCAGTGGGACTAAGTGGGGCTCACGGTACCCCAAGAGTGAATGTCCGCCCTGCAGCCCCACCCCAGCCTGGCTGCACCCGCGTCCCTCTCCCCAGATGACACCTGGGAACTGGGTGCAGCCACTCTCCCCCTGGGGTGGTGTCAGGACAGAAGTGCTCACTTTACAGCAAAATTACCTACCTAATTAGGCTCCCGGAGCTGGCGGGAGGGAGTGGGGGTTTTGTTGATTTTTTTAGACTTTTAGCACTGAAGCCGTGTGATAATGTAACTGTGCAATTAGGAATTAATTTCTCACTCCCGCAAGTGATGTCTTAACTTGGGGCCCGAGGGGAGCCAGCCCGGCGCTTCTTCACCCACAGTGGCCCCTCTTCACCTGCTCTTGTTGGGGTTGGGACACTCCTGCAGCTGTCACTCAGGGTGGGAGGAGAGGGGAGGAGAGCACCTGTCACAGGTGTTGCTCATGCTCTAGGTTCCCCGAGTGCCTACTGTGTGTTGCGTGCCTACTGTGTGCAGCAGGGCTGGTGCGGGTGCTGTGTCTGAGGAGGAGAGGGGGCGTGGCCAGTACTCAGCCAGTCCTGGGATAATCCTGCAGCCCCTGCCCTCACAGGGACCACAAGGTCTGGGGGGGTGGGGGGGGAGGGCGTCCCACTGGGATGGCACCGTCATTGCCCTCAGGGGTCACCTGCTGGTGAACAGCCCCTCACTGTGCTTCCTGGGATCCCCTCCCAGGTAAACTGCTGCTCCCAGTCCTTGGCTCAGGGCTGCTTGGGGAACCCAGGCTAGCAGGGTGAGGAAGGAGCCGGAGCAGAGATGGCACATTCAGCCTGGGGTGCAGGGAGGGGCGCAAGGCTTCGTGGAGAAGGAAGGATGAGAGAGGAGAAAGGGCACTTTGCAGAGGACAGGGGGAGAGAAGGGTGTGTGTGGGGAGCTCCTGGGCCTGGCGTGGTGCCTGGGAGGCCTGGAGAAGGAGCAGGTTTGGGGGAGGGGACCGAGGCAGACTGGAGGGCCTTGAAGGCCGAGGCCAGGGGCTGGGTCTTTGATCTGAGGCAGTGGAGGGACATTGAAGGTTGAACTTGGGGAGTGACACAGCTAGATTTTAGTTTTAGGTTTTCTCCTGCGGAAGGTGGGCTGTTGGGGAGGAGGCAGGAGGCAGGAGACTAGCCGGGAGGCTGCTGCGGTGTCAGGAGAGGGAGGGCTTCCGGACGCGGGCAGGGGTGGTGGAGCTGTGGGCAGACTGTCCGCATCGGTGCATGGAGTCACCATCAGGACGGTGTGCTTCCCGGGGCAGAGAGTGAAACCCACAGATCCTCCCTCCCAGCTGCATGTTCTCCCCAGCCCTCCCCATCCTGTCCAGCGGATCCTCCTCTCAGAGAAGAACGAGAATTTCTGAGTTCTCATTGTGCACCTACTATGTGCCCTTTATCACTGAATGCGTTTGTACCTTGTCTCATTTCCCCAGACAGGAAAGGCAACTGCAGCAAACACCCCCATGAGGTTCATGGAAGATGAAAGAGAGAATTAGGACCTGGGAGGAATGTTTAGGCTAATGGAGTCCCTGGATGAATCCATAAGATCTTCCATGCTGCTCAGAACTCAGTAACTCACAGGGAAAAAAAGGAGACATACGTAATACTCTTTGTAATACTTTAAGCAATAAATAATTAAAAAAAAAAGAACTCAGTAACTCATCACATTTCCCTTTTTGACTTGACAGCCAGGAAGCTCAAACAGAGCTAAGATCTTGACACTAGATTTTCCAAGAGATTTTTCTTGGGAGCTTTTCAATGGGGACCCCGAGGGCTGCAACTGAGAAGGTCCTGGGGCTTTTTGCAGGAGGCGTGTTCCCACATTGAAGATCCGGGGCATCAGGTCGGGGTGAAGGGAGCGTGCCTTCTTAAGTGGCCATGGACCTGGGCTCTGTGAGGAGGGACGGGGAGTCAGACCAGGCAGCGTCGTCCTGAGGGCTCCCGCAGCCGTGCCCTGGCGGCTGTGGCCGTGGTCTGCCCAGGTCCCGGGGCCCATGAAGAGGGTGGAGGTGCGATCCAGGTGGTGTGGGAGCTCGCACAGGCTAATGCGGGGCGAGAATGCGAGCAGGGCCTGGCAGGCAGCAGGCCTTCAAAGCCATTTGCTTTTTCTGGCTCACCATCCTCGGTGAAGCATCTGTTTATTTTTACTGTGAGACTTCATGGGACGGGAACCGATCCTGGTCTGGCACCTGCTGGACCTCACCAGGTGAGCCTGGGGCTCCTGGAACATAGAGCCAGGTGGGTTCAGCCTGGCACGGCTGGGGACCCCACCTCCAGCACCCCAGCGAGGCATCCACAGCCTGGGGGGCCCAGCTCTCCCAGGGCCTGGTGCTGCCCCCTTGGCAGGAGGGAGAGAGCCTGGGCAGGAGGCAGCGGGCTGCATTCCTGGGGGGGATGCGGGGGAGGGGCTGGCAGGAGCTGAGCCTGCGATGGGGTGATGGGGTGGCTCTCCTAGGCCTGGTGTGTGTGTGTGTGTGTGTGTGTGTGTTTGTGTGCGCGCACATCAGTGTAAGAGCGCCTGTTTGTGTGCCCATGTGTGCCACCCCCGCAGCGCCTTCATCACACATATCTTCTTGGCTGCCTGGAGAGCTCTTTCTACAAAATATGAAAACGACAGATTGGCTCACCCACGCGCGGAATCCTCATACAGCTCCACTCTCTCGATGCCCCCCTCTCAGATCATCCTCTGCCCTCATTCACGGCCCCCATCCCCCCTCAACCCTCCCCCTCTCTGCAGGGCAGCTGCCCCTGGCACCCCTCCCTCCCTGCCTCCCTTCTCCTCTGATCCCCCAGGTGTCTGTCTCTAGTTCTAGGCCTCTGTCACCTTTTTTTGGGTCACGCCCCCTCATCTGAATTGGGGCTCTGGAAGGAGTGTGTGTGTGAATGAGGGTGTGTAAGGGGTGAGTGTGTGTGTGCACCATGGTTTGTGGGCAGGTGTGTGATTGTGTGTG